TAGAAACTTGGAAATTTCGGAGTCGATAATGGGCATCAGTTATGAACGCATCAAGCATGCTTTTCCCGTAACGAAAGGCAATTTGATACCCCAGGGTAGATCGTATGGCCGGTTTCACACGCAGGGATTTTGGCAAAATTTTTTTTTCCAGCTTCGGCATCTGTGTAGGAATGATAACTGTTCTCGCGTAAGACTTTCGCGAATTGCACATTTCTCCCACCGTCTGGCTTCAAGCAAAACTATGCGGTCGTAATTCATACGTATGTATGTATGTATGTATGTATGACGACGACCTGGGGAACCGGCGTCGAAAATTCACGCAATAAAGTACCTTTTCCCAAAGAACGCCTCTGCCTTCAACTTATATTTCTTGGGATGCCTACCTTCCAATACATATATATATATATTTCGAAAGAAAGCAGCTCTTTGGGAAATATTAAACAAGTTTTATTGTAAATTTTCTAACTTGGTTCCCCAAGTCGTCTTCAGGCGTGAAGTAAGTGTGCAACACAGTTAACATTTAAACATGCCGAAAAATCGATTTTGCCTTGTTACTCCTGCTGGTGTGATGTTCTGATTGGCTAACGCCTTTTCCACTTTTCTTTGAGGCTGTTGTACACAGTATCCAATTCTACGTGTCGATTGATGCACGCGCTGTCAGAATGGATGGCCTCTAAAAATTCACGGCCCTTTTTTGATGAGCAAACACCAACAATGCGAGTCCTGTCCCATGCGAATTTGTGGCCCGTTTCCAATGTATGCATGGCAACTTGGGACAAGTAGTCGCGCCTTCTTACGGCCAACTGATGTTCGTGTATTCGCGCAGAGGCCGATTTCCCAGTTTGACCACAGTAAACTGCATTTCAGGTGTTGCATGGTATCTTATAGACGACTTCCTTCTTATCTAAATAGCCAACCCTATCCTTAGGGTGTACAAGCTGGTTACGAAGTGTAGTCGTCGGTTTGTGCGCCACATGAATTTGGTGCTTCTTCAGGTGTCTTTCAACTAGTTCGGACACATTCTTAATGTATGGAAGTGTTCGCCAGTTTTTTGGTTTGGGCGCCAAATAAAACCTGCCATTAGAACTACTCAAGGATATCAAATTGCATTGCGTTACGGCCAAAACATGCTTGGAGCCTTTATATCCAATGCTCACGTCAGACTTCGGAAATTTCAAGCTTCTAAAGAACAGCATGCGCATTTCTGCCGAGATAATCTCCCTTCGGAAGTAGTTGAATCTCTAAATGAAACGATAACCTGTGTTTCCAACATCGAAAGACAGAAAAAGAGGAGTGTCTTAGACAAAAAATGGATAGCCATCTCTCAACGAATTCCTACAGACCAAACTTGCTCGACAAAGGTAGTGAACCTGTCAGCAAGAAGACTTTCAACGGCCGAGGAAAGTGTACTTTCTAAGGGAATGAAATATAATCTATCCGATGCGAAATACCTAGACTTCCTTGCAAATTTGGAGTCTATAATATCAGTAGAAAATATTACGGACGATGAACGTTTCACAATCCGGAATAGCACTGTACAAGCCTTGAAGAATCGAAACCCCTTTTCAGTACTATCGCACGAAGAAATGAAGGCACTTAAAACATTAAAAAGTGACAAAAGCATTATCATACTTCCTGCGGATAAAGGAGGATCAACTGCAATTTTAAACAAAGCAGACTACAACGAAAAGATGTTGTCATTATTGAGAGATGGATCAACATACAAACCTCTTGCCACGGACCCTACTAAAAAGCAGAATACGGCCATTGAAAAAGTTCTAAAACGTCTCACAGGAAAGAAGCAAATATCATGAGATATTGCCAAATCCTTACGACAAACTGAGCCACTCATTGCTAAAATCTATGGACTGCCTAAGGTTCACAAACCTGAAATACCACTGCGACCGATAGTATCGTTAATCGGTGCACCTAATTACAAGATTTCTAAATGGCTTTTCCATAAACTCTATCCGTTGACAAAGGATTGTGAAACATCAATCAATAATTCGGCAGAGTTTCTGGACAAATTACAAGGACTGAGAATCTCAGCAGATGAAATAATGGTATCCTTCGATGTCGTTTCTCTGTTCACCTCCATACCATTGGATTTAGCCAGACAATGTACAGAGGAACGTCTCCAGTACCACGACATGGATATCCCTGCATCTGCTTTCTTAGAACTCTTAGACCTTTGTCTAGAAACGAACTTTTCATTTGCACAGGAATACTACCAGCAGCTGAAGGGAGCCCCTATGGGATCACCCATCGCTGGTTTTCTCGCAGAAATCACGATGCAGAAGCTAGAGGCTATCGCCTTACCACTAGTTAACCCCAAATTATGGGTACGATATGTTGATGATACGTTTGTCATTGTGAAAAGTGATCAACTGGAAATGGTCCACAATATTATAAACTCAACACTTCCAGGAATCACATTCACACTCGAGAAGGAGGCTGACAACAGACTCCCATTTCTTGATGTCCTCGTACAGAGAAAACCTGACGGGACATTCCATACTTCGGTTTACCGCAAAGAAACCTACGCGGAAGTTCTTTTGCATTACGAGAGCAATCACCCGATCTCTCACAAAAGGAGTGCCGTGAACAGCCTCCTTAACCGAGCAAGAACTCACTGCTCTGACAACGAAACATATCAAACAGAACTGAAGTATCTGTTCAAACTGTTTTCCCAGAATGGGTATCCTAGATATTTTGTACACCGATGCATGCGACGACAGGAGTTAAAAGAAAAAGAGAAGGAACTAGATTGTTCCGATCAGGCGCCCAAACCAAAAAACTGGCGAACACTTCCATACATTAAGAATGTGTCCGAACTAGTTGAAAGACACCTGAAGAAGCACCAAATTCATGTGGCGCACAAACCGACGACTACACTTCGTAACCAGCTTGTACACCCTAAGGATAGGGTTGGCTATTTAGATAAGAAGGAAGTCGTCTATAAGATACCATGCAACACCTGAAATGCAGTTTACTGTGGTCAAACTGGGAAATCGGCCTCTGCGCGAATACACGATGGTAGAGCGTTCAACTCCATGACCAAAGATCTCGGGTTCGAATCTCAGGTGATCCACACTTGGGGTTGGGTATGACTGGCTGATGACGGCTAATAAGCCAGAAATGGCCATTCCGGTCTCCCTTGTCTTTGTCGGTATTACCTTTCCAACATATATCACTAGTCGCTGTGCGACTGCCTGCGAGGGTTTAAGTATGAGCCCCAAGGCACAACGGAACGAGCATGTTCCGTAACCTGATCGGTGAGCGCCCACTATCATAATTAATATTCCCGATCACAACCGACAGGACAACGGGCCCGTGGCTCAATGGTAGAGCGTTCAACTCCATGACCAAAGATCTCGGGTTCGAATCTCAAGTGATCCACACTTGGGGTTGGGTATGACTGGCTGATGACGGCTAATAAGCCAGAAATGGCCATTCCGGTCTCCCTTGTCTTTGTCGGTATAACCTTTCCATATATATATATATATATATATATATATATATATATATTAAAGGTATTATACCGTACTTCCGACCTAGATACTTGCTAAAAGCCCAGACACGTGTTTCGCCGACTCAAATGTTCATTGAAATTTCGGTTCTGACCCTAAAAATTCATGTCCCGGGGATTTAACTCCAAGTTCTGCATTGATTAATTTCCGAAATTTATATATATATATATATATAATGGTAGGGGGCGCTCACCGATCGTTCATGCGGAACTCACTCGTTCCGTTGTGCCTTAAGGGCTCTCTCTCGAGCCCCAACCATCAGCCGCACAGCGGCGCATGATATATAGGCAGAAATAGTATTACCGACAAAGACAAGGGAGACTGGAATGGCCATTTCTGCCTATATAGATAGATATATATATATTCCTTCAGGAAAGGACACACCCATTTCTTGGCCTCCCGAAGCAAACAAGCTTCGTATGAGTGATAGGGTTTAC